TTCCAGAACTGTTTTCTCTGCATTTAAAAATACGTGTCTGTCTGTTTATTTGCTACAAAAAGACTGCATATTATACTTTCTATCCACATCTTGCTTTCCTATGTGGATTTTATTTATTTATTTATTTATTTATTTATTTATTTATTTACTTAGAGAGAGGGAGAAGGAGAGAGAGAGAGAGAGAGAGACACCATAAGCAGGGAAGAGGCAGAGAGAGAGAATCCCTAGCAGGCTCTGTACTTTCAGCACAGAGCCGGATGTGGGACATGAAGTCACAAACCGTGAGATCATGACCTGAGCTGAAACCAAGAGTCAGATGCTTAACCGACTGAGCAATCCAGGACCCCTATTTTTTTTTAATTTTTTTAAAAAAATGTGTATTTATTTTTGAGTGAGTGCAAGCAGAGGAGGGGCAGAGAGAGGGGGATTGAGGGTCCAAAGCAGGCTCTGCACCGATAGCATAGAGCCTGATGTGGGGCTTGAACTCATGAAGTGCCAGATCATGACTTGAGCTGAAACCAGGAGTCAGAGACTCAACTGTCTGAACCACCCAGGTGCCCCTGTATTTGGACATTTATTTATTTATTTGGAATACGGATATGCTGGGGCGCCGGGGTGGCTCAGTCGGTTAAGCATCCGACTTTGGCTCAGGTCATGATCTCATGGTTCATGGGTTCGAGCCCTGCATTGGGCTCTGTGCTGAACGTTTGCTCAGAGCCTGGAGCCTGTTTCGGATTCTGTGTCTCCTTCTCTCTCTGCCCCTCCTCTGCTTGAGCTCTGTCTCACTCTGTCTCTCAAAAATAAATAAATGTAAAAAAAAAAAAAAAAGGAATATGGATATGCCGTAATTCACTGGATCAGTTCTGTGTGGATAGAGTTTAGGTAATTTCTAGTCTTTTGCTGTTAAAAACTGTGCTGCAGTGAATATCCTTGTATAGAAGTCCATTTGCATGTATATATCTATCTTATATAACTATAGGATAAATTCCTCATAATGGAACTGTTGGGTCAGAGAGTATAAGTGTTTTGGGGCACCTGGGTGGCTCAACGAGTTAAGCATCTGACTTCGGCTCAGGTCATGATCTCACGGCTCATGGGTTCAAGCCCTGCGTCGGGCTCTGTGCTGACAGCTCAGAGCCTGGAGCCTGCTTTGGATTCTGTGTGTGCGTCTCTCTCTCTGCCCCTCCCCTACTTGCTCGGGCTTTTAGGCTTTACCCTGTAAATGATGATAAGCCCTTGAGAGGTTTTTAAGCAGGGGAGCGTCGCAGTCAGATTTGTATTTCAGTAAGATCATTTGGGCCGCGGTGAGGGTACGTGTTGAGCAGAGGCAAAGATAAGAGTCATGAATGCCAGTCAGGAGGCTTCACCGTCATCCAGGCAAGACAGAGTTGTTGGCAGCGTGGTCTAGGCAGTTGGCAGTGAAGACAGAGAAGGATGGATATTGAGACACTGAGGACGTATGTTCACTAGGACTCGGGGCCTGATCAAGCCTGGGGGTGGGGGAGTGAAGAGAGCTTTAATCAGAACCTCTGGGGGCACCTGACTGGCTCAGTTGGTGGAGTGTGGGAGTTTTGATCTCTGGGCTGTGAGTCTGAGCCCCATGTTGGGTGTAGAGATTATTTTAAAATCTTAAAAATAACACTCACACAAAAGCTCTTTTCTCATCATTCTTGCGTGAAGAGTTAGTGTTTTCTTTATCGTTTTCATGCCCATGTTAGTGTTTCCTAATGCTAGAACACCAGGATTAACAGAAGGTTCTAATATATCACTAGTTGTTGTTTGGTGGCTCCAGTGGATTTTTGTCTGAACAAAATATCTTGTCTGTACAAGGATGTTCACTGCAGCACAGTTTTTTTTTTTAATTTTTAAATGCTTTATTTTTATTTCTAGGAGAGAGAGAGAGACAGCGTGAGCAGGGGAGGGTCAGAGAGAGAGGGAGTCACAGACTGAAACAGGCTCCAGGCTCTGAGCCGGCAGTCAGCACAGAGCCCGACGCGGGGCTCGAACCCACGAACCGCGAGATCATGACCTAAGTGAAAGTCGGACGCCCAACCGACTAAGCCACCCAGGCGCCCCACTGCAGCACAGTTTTTAACAGCAAAATCAAGTTGGCGCATTTTTACTAAATTTCTTTGGTCAGTTAGACTTACATTTTGATGGGCACTCATCATCACTACACTCTTTTATTTTTCCCATATTTATACCATTTGTTCAAAATTCAGTAGCTTTACATTCTGTACTTCAAATGTAGTTTAATTATATGTATTTTAAAGTCTTTCTGGGGCACTTGTGTGGCTCAATCGGTTAAGTGTCTGACTTCGGCTCAGGTCATAATCTCACAGTTCGTGGGTTCAAGCCCTGCGTAGGGCTCTGTGCTGGCAGCTAGCTCAGGCCCTGGAGCCTGTGTTTGGATTCTGTGTCTTCATCTCTCTCTGACCCTCCCCTGCTCATGCTGTCTCTATCTCTCTCTCAAAAATAAATAAAACATTAAAAAATTTAAAAAAATAGTCTTTCTTTGTAGGATCTGTTCGCTTTGGTTTTGTGTGTGGTTCTTCTGACAACTAGAAATATTTTTATGTGGTCATTTATAATTTATATTTTATATAATACCATTAAATATCCCATCTGCTCAGTTGGAGTCCTTTTTTTAAACATTTGTTTTTGAAAGGGAGAGACAGAGCGCAAGCAGGGGAGGGGCAGAGAGAGAGGGAGACACAGAATCCAAAGCAGGCTCCAGGGTCTGAGCTGTCAACACAGAGCCCAATGTGGGGCTCGAATCCATGAACCATGAGATCATGACCTGAGCCGAAATTGGACGCTAAACCAGCTGAGACACCCAGGTGCCCCTGGTGTCTTAATTCTCTTATGATGAGCTATGATAAAGTGTGTCCATTACCTTTTCCCCTGTCACTTTCTATCTCATATTAGCCCCCTACATTTTACCATGGTGGTTATTATCTCTGTATAGTTAAAAATCCTGTATTTCTACCACCTGGTTTTTCAGCTTAAAGGAAGCCTTCAGCTCCTGGCTTGTGTAGGTGATACAGCCAAGGAGTTTATCCACTCACCTTCTTCCTCCCTGTGCTTTTGTGTTCATTGTATCATCTGCTGGGTCTGGGCATACAGCACTCACATTTTGCTCCATTACTGTAAACCTGTCTGGTTTTAGTTCTGGTTCTATGGTTAATAAGTACTTGATGCTCACCGCCAATTCTTTCCCTAATCATCTTTTGGTCTGCAGTGTGCTCTCCGGTAGTTTCCTCCAGCGGGGCTCCTGGGAACCATATTCCTTAAATCTGTGTATGTTCAAAAGCCATTTTCTGAGCTTAGAGATGTTCAGGATTCTGGTTTAGCAGCATGTTGGTGGTGGTGGTGTCTGAGATTGCTGCCGTGGGCCCGCCCCACTCTCCTTTCCCGCGTGTACAGCGTGTTCTTGGTTTTAGGGGTGGATTCCCGTGATTCATCGCTCATACAACACCTGGTGCTCATCCCAACAAGTGCCCTCCTCCACGCCCGTCACCCATCCCCCCTCAGTTTGTTCTCTGTATTTAAGAGTCTCTTAAGAGTTTGCCTCCCTTCCTCTCTGTTTGAAACTATTTTTTCCCCTTCCCCTCCCCCATGGTCTTCTGTTAAGTTTCTCAAGTTCCACATATGAGTGAAAACATACGATATCTGTCTCTCTGACTGACTTGTTTCACTCAACATAATACCCTCCAGTTTCACCCAGGTGTTGCAAATGGCAAGGTTTCATTCTTTCTCATTCCCAAGTAGTATCCCATTGTGTATATGTACCACGTCTTCTTTATCCGTTCATCAGTTGATGGACCTTGGGCTCTTTCCATACTTCGGCTATTGTTGAAAGTGCTGCTATGAACATTGGGGTACCTGTGTCCCTATGCATCAGCATGAAGGTTTTTTTTCTTGTTTACTTTGTTGATTTTGATTATATTCAGGAAGAAAAGAGTCAAATTCCCGTGTTATGCCACTATGTTTAGACCAGAAGTCCTTCAATTATATTTGGGTGCCATTCTAGTCTTACAGCAGAGAACATGGGATTTAAAGCTAGACACACCTGGCCTCTAAGCTAACCTCTCCTGCTTGCTTGCTTTCTTTTAAAAATTTTTTTTTTAACATTTATTTATTTTTGAGAGACAGAGAAGGATCAGGGGAGGGACAGAGAGAGAGGGAGTCACGGAATTTGAAGCAGGCTCCAGGTTCTGAGCTGTCAGCACAGAGCCCAATGTGGGGCTCGAACCCACGAACCGCGAGATCATGACCCAAGCAGAAGTCGGCCGCTTAACCGACTGAGCCACCCAGGCGTCCCAACCTCTTCTGCTTTCTATATGACTGACAGTGGATGATCACTTTTCTCCCTCAACCATTAGTATTCTTATCTCTAAAATGGAGGTAATGCTCACAACTATTTCCTATTTTGAGGAGTGAGTGAGGTAATATATATATAATAAGCAGGGACCTAGCATAGCGCTTTGCAAATAGTGCGTGTTCAAAAGGGTAAGAGCACAATGTTCCAGTGACCTTTCCAGCACAGGTGGCATTCATAATTACGTTCACCTTCTCTGTTTGGATGGCATCATGCTCCTGCCACTCACTCAGCATTAACGGTGGATGCTGTCACTGAGGCCATATGGGGAGACCCTTTGGCTCTCTCCCATTTCACCCATAACTCTATCCGCTGGTAGTTAGGGCCAAAAGAAGGGGGCAGAATGATTGCTCAGAAGCCCCGGAGAGAGGATCCCCTCCTCCAAATGGCAGGGGTGAGGGGTGGGATGACACACAGGCAGGGTCTTCAGGGAAAGGAAGGGTTTCTTCGGGGAGAGGGGGGAAGGGCCAGAGCTAGACCTGGATTCTGGATATTCCTCAGTCCAGACTCTGGATGGGGCCACTTGTGGATGATGTCAGAGGAGGCTGGGATGCCGGAGTGACCGGGGTCCTCAGGCCCACGTAGCCAAGTTCTCGCTTTTGTCCGTGTGTGTGCTCAGGTCCCGGAATCCCAGGCGAAGCCGGCTCCGGCCGTGCTGGCCCGCAGCGCTGGCACGGCCTCTGCTGGTCACAGCTCCCCCAGAAGCCAGGGCGCCGTTGAACCCATGGACACGGAGAGCCACGCGGATCAGAGGACGGTGTCTGCGGCCCAGCAGGCTAGAGGCGAGAAGAGTACAGAGGCGGATGGGAAGATGCAGGTGGCTGGGAGGACCCGGAGGACACAGGCAGATGGGGAGCCACAGGTGGACACCGCACCACGAGGCGGTGGGAGGACAGCGTCAGCCGCGAGTCCCCAGGACGATGCGGTGGCACAGGGAGGGGCAGGGACACAGGGGGAAAGGACGCGGGAAGACAGGAAGATGCAGGCAGACAGAAGGATCCAGGAGGACAAGGAGACATGGCCAGAGGGGAGCACTGCCCCAGCCACAGAAGGTCAGGCAGAGAAGGGACCCGTGACCAGCCTCAGCCCACAGTCCAGACCCCCTGAGCGCCCATCTTCAGAGGGTCCGTGGTCTCCTCAGATTATTGAGTGTTTTGAGCAGAGCCCAGAAGGGTCCTCTGTCCCGGAAGAACCTGGTTTTGTGCTCAGCTCTGACGAGGCGGCAGTCACAGCGCCCCGGAGCTACAAGATGGCTGTGCTGGGTGGCCCGGCAGGTGGCTCTGAGCTCCCAGCTCAGCGGCCTCCCCGGGGGGGTTTGGAGCAGCCAGAAGGGGCGAGGCGCCAAGGGCCCGAGTGGTCAGGCATGGGCAAGGGCAAGCCGGAGGATGGCCTCGTCCCATGCCCCAAGGAGGAGCAGCTGGGGACAGTGCCATCCATGGATGTAGGTGGCTGTCCTCCGGCTGGCGGGAGCCCAGAGGGGCCCACTCCGCCCTCTCTCCCGGGGCTGGGCCTGACCCAGAGCCCTCAGGAGGCGCTGCCCAGCACTCCGACCTCTCCGCGCCTAAGCACCACCACCTTCGCGCCCTCCGGGGACCAGACCTGGCTGGGGTCAGCCCTGCCACTGCACCTGGGGCCAGGGACCCCCGCCCAGAGTCCCCCACAAGCAACCGCGGCAGCCAGCAGTGAGGGGGCCGGCGCCCAGGGGCCAGATGTGGAGGGGAGGCCCCCAGGACCCCGCAGCTGCGACCCCGGCCTCATCGACTCCCTGAAGAACTACCTGCTCCTGCTGCTGAAGCTGTCCAGCACAGAGACGGGGGGCGGGGACACAGAGTCCCGGGAGGGGGCTGCCAGCAGGGGCCCGACGCCCTCACCCACGCTGGCCCCCAACGTGGAAGTGGCTGGTCTGAGCCCCAGGACGTCCAGGCGCATCCTGGAGCGCGTGGAGAACAACCATCTGGTGCAGAGCGCGCAGACCCTGCTGCTGAGCCCCTGCACCTCCCGCCGCCTCACCGGCCTCCTGGACCGTGAGGTGCAGGCCGGCCGCCAGGCCCTGGCCGCAGCCCGGGGTCCTGGCCCCAGCCCCCTCGCCGTCCCTGCCATCGTGGTGGGCGAGGAGGAGGGCCCTGGGCTGGCCTCCGAGGGATCCAGTGAGGGTGAGGGAGAGGTTTCCCTCGAGGGCCCTGGGCTTCTGGGCGAGTCCCAGGAGAGCAGCATGGAGGGGCTGCCGGGGGGCTCAGGGGGACCCACGGCCTCGGGGCAGGGACCATCCTCAGCAGAGAGAGGGGCCCAGGAAGCCCTCCGAGAGGAGGAGGCCCCCGGGGAGGCTCTGACAGGTCTCCCTGCAGCCACCCCCGAGGAGCTAGCCCTGGGGGCCCGGAGGAAGAGGTTCCTCCCCAAGGTCAGAGCCGTAGGGGATGGGGAGGCAGCCAAGCCGGAAGAAAGGGAGAGCCCCACAGTTTCCCCCCGAGGGCCCAGGAAGGGCCTGGCGCCCGGCTCCCCGGGGACTCCCGGGCGGGAGAAACGCTCCCCTACCCAGGGCCGGAAGGCAGGCCTGCTGGAGGTGCCACGGGCCGAGGAGGAGCCCGCAGCGGGAGCCAGCGGCCTGGACACGGAGCCGGCCCCAGACGAAGGCAAGCAGGACACCCCGGCCAAAGCCAGGAAGGCCAAAGAGCTGCTAAAAGGTGAGCAGGGGGGCGGGGGGGGCGGCGTCCCGGGAGAGCAGTGCGGGAAGGGTGCCTGGCAGGGGCCGCGCGCCCGCTGGGCTACAGGGCGCCGCCTTCCGTTAGGGCCCCGCAGCCGGGGCGGCGCCGCCGCCTCGCTCTCGTCCTGGCTCTGCCCCCTCAGGACTGGGAGCGGTACCAGCTGTGGACCATCAAGGGGGAAATGGGGCAGAAGAAATCAGGTCCTTAGACGGGGCCCGGCTCCCGCGGTGTCCTAGGAGCAGCGCCAGCATCTGCACCGTCCCCTCTGTGCATAACTGTCACATGAGTACGGCGCGGGAGGGGCTGGGATTCACACGTGGCTCTTCGATCAGTGCCCAGAGCCCACACTGAAGTTCTTCTCTCTGTCTCTTTTAAACGGTTTATGTATGCATTTTAAGAGAGAGAGCACAAGTGGGGAGGCAGAGAGAGAGGGAGAGAGAGAATCCCAAGCAGGCTCTGCACTGTCAGCACAAAGCTCCATGCGGGGCTCGAACTCAAGAATTGTGAGATCATGACCTGACCTGAAATCAGGAATTGCACACTGAACCAACTGAGCCACCCAGGTGCCCCTCTCTCCTTTTTTAATGCCACGAGAGCCTTTTGAGGAAAAGCTTTGAGTTTTGTTGTTTTGTTTCTTTGCTGTTTTTAGTGAACTCAGTTCCTTTAATAAATATAAGGCCATTCTGTTTCTTCTCGAGTGGGCTTTCCTAGCTACTGTCCCTCCGGCGAGTTCTCTCTTTTCACCTGTGCGACAAATGTCAAGAATAACATTTGCCATAGCGTCCTTCTTGCTACATTTAACGTCTGATGGTTCTGTACTGACATGACCTGGGCAGTTCATGATTCTGGTAACCTGTGTTCTCTATTTCTGCTTTCTATTCACCTGTTTAATCTCTCGCGGATTTTGTTTCCTGTTTTTAATTTTTTTTTTTTTTAATTTTAGTTGACATATGGGGCGACTAGGTGGCTCCGTCGGTTCAGCTTCCAACTCTTGATTTCAGCTCAGGTCACGATCTCACAGTTCATGGGTTCAAGCCTCACATCAGGCTCCATGCTGACAACGTGGAGCCTGCTTAGAATTCTCTCCCTCTCTCTTTCCCCTCCCCCACTAGAGCTCACACTGTCTCTCACGAAATAAATAAATTAAAAAAAATTTTTTTTTAATTTTAGTTGACACACAATGGTACATTAGTTTCAGGTATATGACGCAGTGATTCAACAATATACCTTATGCTGTGCTCCCCACGAGGGCAGTGTCCTCTCCTGACTGCTGTGTGTGTCCTCAGCTCTGAGGCTCCCCAGGCCTGGGGCAGGGGCACAGAAGTGGGGCCTTTCCGGCTAAGCTGTGTGATTTAGAGTCAGAGCAGTTGGAGAGGGCGCACAGCCAGGGGCCAGGAAGCAGTTGTGTGTGTGTGTGTGTAGGCTTGAATCCTGTTGTCCCTCACCTGTCCCACCAAGAACACCCAGGGAAGCTGGGGTAGGGCCAGCAAGGGTACAAGATGGGGGAAAGTGGCCTGTCCCTCCTAACTGGGCCCCGGCTCTCAGCCCCACAGGTGATCCGGAAGATTCGGGTGGAACAGTTTCCTGATGCCTCCGGCAGCCTGAAGCTCTGGTGCCAGTTTTTCAACATTCTCAGTGACTCCGTCTTGACATGGGCCAAGGACCAGCGCCCAGTGGGCGAGGTGGGCAGGAGGTGAGCCGGCTGGACAACACCTCCACCCGCCCGGCGTCCCGGTCATGGTGCTAACGCTGTGGGGCACCGTCCTCGCACTTTGGGTCTGTCACCCCATCTTCTGCTCACAGTAACCCAGTGAGGTGGGGGGGGGTTCCTAGTATTTCCTTAGTAGCGAGGAGAAAAGTGAGGCTCAGAAGTACTAAGTCGCACAGCTGGCGAGGGTCAGGACTGCTGACCAGACCCGTGTGCCCGCAGCACCTCCGGCCAGCTGCCCGAGCTCTCGGTGCCGGGGTCCCCAGCAGCGTCTGAGGGCAGGGTGTCCTGGGGACCGCAGTCTGGCCCTGGGCTGCGCGTGGCCATGGCCCTCACGGGGAGGGTCTCCCTCCCTGCAGTGCAGGGGACGAGGGCCCGGCAGCCTTGGCCATCGTGCAGGCGTCCCCCGTGGACTGCGGCGTGTACCGATGCACCATCCACAACGAGCATGGCTCGGCCTCTACGGACTTCTGCCTCAGCGCCGAGGGTGAGCACGCCCCTCCCAGGCTCCCTGCCCAGCGCGGCCCCTGCGGGAGGGCCACGGTCTTCCTTGTAGAGACGGTGCTCCCTGCAGACAGCCAGCCTGAGGGCGGCCGCTTCCTCTGCTTTTTCTCCACAGTGTTGTCAGGATTCATCACCAGAGAAGAAGGTGAAGGTATGGTGCCCCCCTGAGGGGAGGAGCGGGTGGGCCTTCACCCCCACCCCTGCGGTCCACAGGGGGGACCTTCTTTAGGGTCGTGGGATCCATTCCAAATGCCAAGTTTACCTCCACACCCAGCTGCCCTTCGCCTCCTAGTTTAGGATAGGGCTTGGGAGGGGTGGGTGGTGAGGACAGCTGGTTCCCAGGACTCGGGGGGGCGGGGGGCGGGAAGGAGTGGCTAAGAGGCCCTTCCACAGGAAACTAATTCAGCCTTGTGCGCTTGGCCCGCGTCGGAGCCCTTGACCAAGCGCAGGCCATACCTTACCCTGGAGGCTCCCTTCCCGGAGTTTCTCACGGTGCTCCGTGTGTTCCTGCGTCAGATGCACACGGCAAGCCTGCTAAAAATGCAGTTTCTTGGGCCCTGCTGCAGATACCCTTAATCGTAACGTCTGGGGAAGGACCCGGGAAAACTGCATTTTCAGTAGGCTCCCGGGTGATTGTGACATGGCATTTCCCCAAACTTTAGAGGAAGAGTCTGTGATGCTTCTGTGGAAGACGTGCTGAGGGTCAGGATGCGAAGGCAGCTGATGGTAGATGTTTAGAGCTTCAGTGCTGACAAATACACTCATTCATTCACTCACCCATTTGATCAGCCAGTCATTGAACTAGTGCCTCTGTTCAGTTGTCAAGTTTACTCGATACCAAGTATAACCCCACACCTAAAAGCTTAGTGGTCATTCTGTAATATCCTTAGACAACGTATCACATTTCCCCAGTTGTTGGTCTACTTGGATTAGGAACCACTCACGGCTTTGGGCTGATCAGTGTGAAGTCTCTCTAATATATAACTGTTCTTCCTCATAGTTGTCCCTTTAGCCATTTATTTGTTGAAGTCGCTTGATGTGTAGAATTTCTCTAGACTTTGTTGATTTAACACCGTTTCACACTTTCTTCAATTCAGGTGCTTTCCTTAAACTTGTAATTAGCTCTGCGTGGTGTCCGACTTCAGCTCAGGTCATGATCTCAGTTTGTGGGTTCGAGCCCTGCATCGGGCTCTGTGCTGACAGCTCAGAGTCTGGAGCCTGCTTCAGATTCTGTGTCCCTCTCTCTCTACCCCTCCCCCACTCTCTCTCTCTCACTCTCTCTCAAAAATAAACATTAAAAAACCCCTTGTAATTAGATCAAGAGCTTGGTCACATTCAGGTGCAGCTTTTTGGGGGAGGGAGGAATACTTCACAGATGTGCTGTCTTTCCTTTCGCATTCTATCCGGAGGCACAGAATGCTTGTTATCTTTTAGTAACGTTAAGATTGATCCCTGCCTTCATTCAGCTGTTTTCTGCCTGATCTGTCCCTGGGAAAAGTTTAAAAACCGTACCCAATACTTGTTACCTAGGGGTTTTAGCAGTTACCAATTATTGCCTAAATCCATTATTTCATTAGGGTCTACGGCTAGAGTATTTTAATTCTGTCACTTCTTCATCGGTTAACTTTCTCTGTTATTTGGTTGCCCTGGTTTGGTGCCCTAGTATCCTCCAGAGGTCACCAGTGAAAGTTGGGGGGGGGTTTTGGGGGGGAGGAATGAGTATTTTTTAAACTACCATTATGAACGTATGGATTTTTAAAACACATTTGGTATGTTTGCCACATTGTACAAACCATTGTGTTTGGTTGGTGAGATTGATTTTGGCCAATGGAAGCCCCTTTGGGGAGCTGGCTCCCGCGTCCTTGACAAGCCTCCAGTCGTTTTTGTAGCGTCTTTGCTCTCTGGTCAGACAAGGTAGGTCAGGTCCGTCGAGTACACTTCCTGCCATCGACCTGGAATCAAGCGTTTCTCTAGGGAGCTCTGGCTCCTTTTTGTGGGCAACGGCTTTTAGGGATCACAGTTTGAGCGCGACAGCTGCCTTGGTCCTGTAGACTTTCTGTTCCATTCAAACACGTTGGTTGAGATGGAGACATTTCTGCGTTTGAGCAAAACACCCAATTCCAAAACAAAGGAATTCTGGTATCGTGTGCCGATTGTGCCGTCCATGGAAACCCCCTGCCCTCCCTGGCCACTGACCGAGTCTTTGCGATGTGCGGGCACACTCGTGCACTGTTACACAACGGGGGTTGTATCGGACACAGTTCTGATCCCGGGGGTTCATGGTCTGGTTTGCGACCCGTGGTGTGCATACACCCCAAGAGCAGTAATGCACGGAGAGTGGGCGCACCAGCATGGCGGGCGGGAGGTGGTCCGGGCCTCTTCCTGCCCTGCAGACCCACCTCAGCTGGGCAGGAACTTCCAGTTTTCCACATGTTTCCTTTCCCCCTTCAGTTGGAGAGGAGATTGAGATGACTCCCATGGTGTTCGCGAAGGGTCTGGCCGACTCAGGCTGCTGGGGGGACAAGCTCTTTGGGCGCCTGGTGAGCGAGGAGCTACGAGGGGGTGGACACGGGTATGGCCTTCGGAAGGCGTCCCAAGCCAAGGTCATCTATGGGCTGGAGCCCATCTTCGAGTCAGGCCGCACGTGCATCATCAAGGTGTCCAGCCTGCTCGTGTTCGGGCCCAGCAGTGAGACCTCTCTCCTGGGCAGAAACTACGACGTCACCATCCAGGTACCGTGCCCCATCCCCTTCCTTCCTTCCGCTCTTACCCCTCCTCCCCTCCCTGGCTCGGGTCCTGTTGGCAGGCTGTGTGGGCAGAGGCCATCTCAGTGTCAACCTCACAAGGCTCCTGGGATGGGTCTTGAGGAGAGCCAGAGACTTAGCCCAGCCTATGTCTTCGGAGCCATCGTTTTCAAACCATATTTTGATAGCAGAAGCGTTTCTTGTTGCCCTCACACATACCTTGCACGGAAGCCTGTGTGTGAGGTGAAAGGAGAGTGACTGGGTGGGATGGACAGTCTGTGTCTCCCTCACTCCTCCCAGGGTGGCCCATGGGCACCGCCACCTTCCCACAGCGTGGCCCGTGGGCACCGCCACCTTCCCACAGCGTGGCCCGTGGGCACCGCCACCTTCCC